CCCCAAAACCCCAAAACCCCAAAACCCCAAAACCCCAGCTTATTCAAACCCTGAAATATATTAAAAAGTCACCAAGTGCCAAAAATGGAAGAAGCAGAATTTTAACCAAAGTAGTAAAAATCAAAAATTTAACCAAAATTTAATCTCCACCAATTATTTTAACTCCTTCAAGCTGGTTTTCTTCAAAGACTTGTTCAGCTTTATTTTGGGTTACTCCGCCGCAGTAAGAGACAAATACTATTTTAAGACTCAATCTTAAATCTGGAGAGCTTGCTAACCCTTTAACTAAGTTCTCGAACTCGTCGAAGTTGTTCTCCCAATCACTTCTACTCGAGTTTCCTGATCCTTCTAAATCTATTCCCTGTATTTGGCAATTCTTCAGAGCCTTTGACAAATCAGGAACACTTGGGATAGATAGCCTGCAATATTCCAATCTCAAAGTTCTCACATGTCTGAAAGCTGCCACCAGCTTCTTGAGTTGGGGTGGGCCGATGCTGAAATTTCTAAAGTCAACTTTTTGAACGACTTTGGAGCTGAGTGTGGTCAGGGAGTTTAAGTAGTTGCACCTTTTCAGATCCATTTGACCACTGGACCAAAAATCGAGAATCTTAATTTTATTTGGGAATGAGGATTGTAAGAAATTTAAAACAAAACGCCTATTTTTAGAACCAATCCCAATCAAATGAAGCCAATCTATATCAAAAACCTTAAGACGCTTCAAACTTTTCAAAAGTTTGCCATCACAGATTTGGTTCGCCCAAATGTAAAGTCTACTGTTTGCTGAAACTTCTTCGTAGTCTAGGTCCGATGGCTTAACTTCTTCATCTTGACGAACCTTATAGAGGATGCTCTGACATGTGGTGACCTCTTGCTCCTTGGCTTCTGCCAGGACAGACTTCTCTAGACTGCACAATTAGAGGTCAACGAGGAGGTAGGTCAGTGTCAGAATCCTTCAGAAAGTTGGAGATGAAAGGATGCTAATTTAGATTTTGATAACTCCCAGGTTTAAGTCTTTAGGAGAAATGTTATTAGTGAAGGCCCCAAATAAATCTAAGAGAGGCAAGGCTTATAAACTCTCTCTAGTTTTGCTATGAACTTCTCGGCCAAGAAATTTTCGGTGAAATGATTATAAAAGTTGGAAAATTTTGGTTAAACTTTAAAGTTTTGGGACTTGTTACAAATTTGAGAGTGAAAATTTAAAGTATTCTAAAACTAAGCTCTCAGTTACCTGATTATCTGGGCGTTCTCTTTTTCAATTGCTTTAGTAGTACTTTCCATTTTATTATTATAAAAACTTAATTTTAAATTTTATTTTTCAATATGTCTGCAGAGGAGTGGGGTTTTGGGGTTTTGGGGTTTTGGGG